AGTGTCTAAAATATTTTCTGACGCGTCAAAAGACTCATCGACACTGGTCGTAAGTTTAGCTGGAGTGATGTCAGAAGTTGTAGAAGTTGGGATAATAGTTTCTGGACTTTTTCCTTTTTCAAGGTTGTTGGAAGAACTTTCTTCGACTGGGTCGACTTCCATGGTGTTGGTCTCCTCTGGAAGGATAGTTACAAGAGGTTCTTTTACATAAGTAAGAGAGAGGTCGTTGTCTGAAGTTTGCAGTGTGTTCTGTTTCTTTTTTGGTATTTTATCTGATATTGGCGAAGCCGAGCGGCCGCGGTTGGTATTCTTTCTTTCTGTTTTTTTGGGCATTTTGCAAAAAGGGAGAAAGAGTTTTTTAAAATTATTTATAAAAATGGAAATACTATGTAATATATGCATTAATTTTCTATTTTTAGTACAACTTGTGCACATAACTTTTGGTTCAAATTTTATACACTGACGGAGATTGATGGGTTTAGGCATAGATTTATTATAAACCTCATCTAAAATAATATCAATGAATTTACTAGGCCTAGGTCTATTAACAATGTTTCCTGACATATTTAATGATTTATAGTGTTTTTAGCAACTCTTTAGTTAACTTATACTAATGAATAACATGTTTCAAATTTATACGGATTTGCTGGTTAAGCAGTTTTAATGAATTATAGCGATTTTATTGATCTGTAGCCGATTTAGTGAGACTACACACTAGTAAATACAAATTCATTTTATTCGATTGGGATTTATATATCAGGCTAAGCTAGTTTTATATTTACATGCGGTTTGGCCATAGGGCGCTGTGCATGGATCTCTTATGATTAACAGGGATTAGCCAGATATGATGTATAACATAAAAATTTGTATCACCTTAGCTCCCAGACAGTTTCCGGCACTTCCTCGCAACCTTTCCGCAACTCAAATCACGGGGATCAACCAATCAGATTTTGCACGCACGCATAGTAACTAAGCCACCATCATTATTAAAAGTAAAATCTTTATTATATTTTTGTAAAGTAATACGAAGGATGGCCGGCTAAATGAAAAAATGGAACTATATAAGATACTGGAATAGATCACATTTAAAGGAAAGAATAAAGCAATAATATCATGCTTTCCACCAAATTGCATGCACATTACACCAAGTACTTTGCAGAAAAATTTTTCTATGCATATTACACAGCATCAAAAAGCATAAGCGCTATAAAAAATATAAAGTTTAATTATTATATTAATTGTGCTATACTTTGCAATGATTTAACTAATACTAGCAGTAAGAAGATAAGTACATAAAAAATCATATTGGTTAAGAATAGTCGAGTAAATTAATTATAAATCTTTCCCATATTGATTAATAATTTTTGGATTTGCAAGCACTTGAAAATGTTACATTACTTATATTTGAACTTTGAGACATTCAAAACAATCAAATTACAGATAATAACTATTTCTTCTGAGATCAAGAAATAAAAATAACAGTTTGTATCAGTGATGCTAAATACGTGCTTCTATAGTATGAACCTTAAACTTATTACTTACCTTCGGTTTTTGGGGAGATCTGTGCTCTTTCTCTCTAACAGGCACTATCATTCTTCCAGGAGCAAGTTTTTTCTTTTCAGCTCTTTGTTTAATAAGTTTAAATTGAGTAATAGTAGTGGATAATAATTTCTGAAAAAAAAAACAACGCATGTAAACATAAGTCATACTTTAAGAGGACTCTGAAGATGCTACTAACTTTGATTTGAAGCAATATATGGGATATCTTAATAACTGACTTTAACTCCTCGTATTTTGTTGGTATGTCAAAGTCGGCTAAATTAATCGATGCGTAATAGCCTCCTTCTACATATATAACTAGGATGGCACGCAAAACAAAGTAAGAAGACAAAAAACTGGGCATAAGAAGTTTTGTGATAGACTGCAGGACCGGCTTCGAAAGCATTCCATCGCCTTCTGCAGATATTACTTCAGTTAGGGATCAGTGCATGTCTCTTAGAATCTTTTGTCCTTTTAAGTTATCTGAAATAACCTTGCGCTTGTTTTCAACTTTGGAACTGGCACGTTCACAGATTGAAAATTCGCGAACCTAACTTAAGTCCTTTCCTAAATCGTGTCGCTATAGATTTAAGTTAGTAAATGCTCTGATAATAACAATGATTCCTTTGAGAATTTACCATACCGTAAACATCCAGTCGAGGTGGTATCCTTCCGCATTACTCGGAGCATCTACCGCATTTGCTCGACGATCTCGTGAGGCTCTTGATACTACCTCACCGCCTATTTAAGAAAATTAAAGAAATTATTTAAGCATAATTACAAACAATAAAAATATTTGAGAACAATAATGGAACTTACAAATGACTATCCAAAATGTCATCGAAACATAAAAAGATATGACGTTTAATAAAAACATCAATGTCCCGCTCTGAGTTTTGTCTACTGGGGATCCCTTTCGCAATCATTTCGCACCTGATGGAAGTTGAAGTAAAAGTATATGAAGTTGCATGTGTAGTTAAACGCTGAACTATCAAATGAACCTACGTATATCTAATCAAGTCAAAAATGTACGCGACATCTGGGTCCAGATGATTATTATGATCAAGTAGTGAGATCTCTTCGGAAAAAATTTTAATATCTTCGTCGATATATCCATCATAAAATAGATCGTCATCTTCTAAGATAATTGGATTCTTAGTACTTATCATTTCTTGGAGTCTAAGAATTGCACCGTGTGTTCCCTTCGGTCTTACAGTTTCCCCAATTGTACGAAGCTGATAGCTATCGAGCTGGAAACCAAAAGAAATGTTAACCCAAAAGAATTGAGGCGCTTAAATTATTATTATTCACCTTTGAAAGAGACTTCAAGCATTTTTCTGCTGAAGGTTCCAGCACAGTCCAATCTTTTAATGCAGATGAAAACATCGCATTCAGATCTGATAGCTCTGATTCTGAAAGAAGATTTACAATTTTAGGATCTGACAAGTCTATAATCTTCCACCAAATTGATCTGAGAAGAAAACTTCGTTAGAACCTACTAACATCAAGAAAAATGGAACCAGTATTTGCCCAACATTTACCTTAAAGATGATTTATACGTAGTTATTGGATCATCTTTTGAGATTAACAGACAACGTTCCTCTATCAATTTTTTTAGCCAACTTGGCTGTGGTGTATCAAACTCCCATTCTTTGTCATCTGTAACCTCTGCAACCTGTGCATAAATATGAAAGATGAGAAGACATTTTGTTGTAGAATATATATTAAAACAACTACCTTGTCTTCTAGAGTTTGCGATGGCCCGTTTTCTGTTTGGAGACATTGACGTTTGTGCGAAGCACCACTGGCTTGATCCTTGGGATATCGTTTATTAACAGCGAAAATTACTTTATCCGAACTACGGAACCTTGTTTCATTGAGAATTCTTACGCCTTCTATTACATAGTTTTTTCCAGCATTTCTCTGTTTTGGACAAGATAAGGAACATAGTCAATAAAAAAAAAATATTTTTTGATATAATTCATGTAAGAGTATTAATGCAAACTAGGCTAACCTTTTCACGTTCAAGAATAATGTTTTGGAAAAATGATTCCATTCGAGGTTTATTTGTTTCATCCTATTAATGAACTGCAACGAGAGAGCACCGAAAACTTCAGCAAAACCTCTAGATCGCACAATATCAAAATATAACCACAACACAACTTCCAGATCGCACTACATCAAATGTAACTACAACCCAGAATCTCGTATCGCACTATATTATAAATATAACTACGGCCCAGAAGCGCTTCATACTCATCACTTGGGTACCGAAAACTACGGCAAAACCTCTGGATCGCACTATACCAAAAAGTATAACTACAATCCAGAAGCCACCCTTGATACTGATAAAGCTTTTTGGGAGTTTAGCAAATTTTGTGTGTAACACAAAACCTCTCCTTACCTTATTGACATGGTAAATATATCGACCGTATCATGCACCGTCTAAACCGCTCCAGTCGTTAGTATATGGTGGCGAAGTTATAATCGTTTCTTTTAATTCATTTAAAAAATATTCATAAGTCCATGTTTCTTCATCGTAAGTTTCGAAATATTTTAAAACAGCTGGAAAACAAATAGGGTGAATCAGCCCACTGTCGAAAAGTAAGTTTGCAAGTTTGAGAGCTTACCTTCATTCCCAATGTAGGGTTCCATTTTTTTTTTCGTTTCGATTCAGCTAGAGTTTGTAAGTATAGGTTTGGTTGCGTAAACATGGAGTAAAATTACATCATAAGTTGGATCGGCATAGATGTGCTCATATAATCATGTTACCCTCAATTCCCGAACGGTAATTAGTTAGTACAGCAGGCTTGTGAGTACGCTAAATTTCACCGTACTCATTACACGTGACTTGCTTATATGTTATCATGTATTGCTGTGAATTACCATATAAGGCTAATAAGTACGATGAGTACATAAATACAGGTGTAAAATTTAGCGTACTCGTACTCGTAATACTTAAACATATAATCATCCCCGAATCCTGTGACAACAAATAAAAAAATGATTTACTTTTTTGATACACTGTGAAACTTTATGTAAAAATGCTAGAGAAGCGAATGAAATGTATGATGCTATTAAAGAGGGAGGGAGTACGCGGATCCTAGGCCATTTAATACGAGTCCCAGCATCAAGTTATTTCTTTGCTCTCTTACATTTTTTACAAAAAGTATCTATAACTAATTTATTTCTATCAATATAACTAACTGCAAGATTCTCACCCCCACGCTCTTTTACTATTCTAGATTTTCCAAATAAATTATCCCACCCATATCTACACCTATCTATATCACTACCACCTGCATAGACTATGTAAAATAATATTTCCCGCAAGAGAAGTTTTCTGAGAGGAAGTAATTTCGATTCTATAGAAAGAATTCGAAGATTAGCAATGAGATATAAAAAATAATCAATGCAGACGTATTTCTGATTCATACTCACCACTACGATTCATTTTCATAACATTCCATTCCGCCTCATACACCAGATATTTATTGCTTAATTTTTTCTGCGTTATCGCCAGTACGATACTGCGCAAAGTTTTAAGAATTCAGCACGTGAATATGCTTATATAAGATAAATTTTTTGATGCACTGCGCCAGACTTTTGCTGTGCCGTTGTATGTGACGAGATTCATGTGAGTAATTTCACTACGTCTATTGTACGCGTGATGATGGTCAGTGATTTTTTCGGCGAAGATCAAAATGCCGATATATAACAAGAAGAGCAATATGTCTGTTTTATTTTGGAACATCTAGAGGTGGGAAAATCGATTAGCACTGTGATAACATGTTTCAAGAAGCTAGCCGAGTAATAAACTAACTTACTTTATTATTACTTTGCAGAATATACTTGTTTGATTGATTGTTGATATTGATTGATGTTAGTAGTGGTAAGTTTGGATATTTCTTTTTTTTACTTTACTTGCACAAGGCGGATAAAGGATTCACTAAATAAGGCCTCACCTTTTTATATGATTTGTAGTCTTAAGGATCAATTTTGGAATTAATCTTTGACGTTAATATGACCGCATTACGAAAATCTGATCAACGTGTACTCCTTAAATTTACAATAGAAAATCTTTGACGTAAAGATCAACAAAGGGTTTTTTTTATTATTAGTACATGTAAAAAATGCGGAAATTTTGAGAATAAATGCTTTATAGCTGAAATGTACTCTTTACTTTATTAAAAATAGTGCGTCTATCACGCAAAAATACAAATTTTGCAAATAATTTAGCGGCGATGTGAACTACGATTGTTTAGTTTGTATTGGCATTGCTTTTAATATTGAGACCGGACCCAAATATATACCATCACGTTTAACGATAAGGTTATCACTAGCATGATTTGACTTAGGTTTGGTAATTTTATCAGGAATTTCGTTAAGAATCCAATCTTCAAGTTCTCTCAACGAAATAATCCCATTCTTTTTCTTTTCTTCGTTGCCTATAACAAGAGTTACCGTGAGTTTTCCATCAATAATGTCTGTGACCTACATTTTCCAAATAAAATCAGTTTCCAATATTGACAAAAATTATCTTTTAATGAACAATTAATGACACGCACCTTGCATTCGCGGCTAACAAATTTTTTCCCATAATTTTTAATTATACATAACCAATCGTTCTTTTTGATAATTTCTCACTTGCATGTCTATTTCAATTCATCGCTATTATCAGCCCGAGGATGCTTATCTGTTTAAATAATAACTATAAATTGCGTTGCTACACTGACTTTCACAAATAAGAAAGGCCTCACCTATTGTTAATCTTTGTAAATCATCTCCCAATTCTTCAACCTTTTTATCGGATTCATATGAGACTATCAAATGCAAAGGACAGCATAAGACATCTTATAAGTGTCAGATTCACTATTAACAAAATAACTTGGTTACTTAAGTTTCGAAATATTTACACACTTTGTTCGACTAAAATATGAATGCTTCCATTAGATACGTTTTCAAAGTACTTGCGAATCTCTTCTGAACCAAACATCTCTTCTATGTTCAAATCATTTTCAAGATCAAGGTCATGAATTTCGTTGGCACGGTTGTTTGGAATATTTATTTTCCATAGAATGAGTTGGCTGGTATCAAATTTAGCGAAGGTGTGCTTTTGGTCATCTCTGATCAACTCTTTGAGTCGATTAACCTTAACGTTTGTATCAACTTCAATGTCAAAAGTACACGAAGGTCTGTTTCCTTTAGTAAGACAGGTGAGGATGACCATAGTTTGATACATGAGGAGACCCATAATGAATAAAAGATGCATATTTATATTTCAATTTTCACATTAACCTTTTACCCGACCAGCAGTTTGTTCTAAATAATAAACCATAGTCAGTTAGACTGTTATATGCTAAACCTTTTATTAAACACTGCAATTAATTAGATGATGGTCCTATTCACAAAAGCAAAAATACCTCAAATGTCAATCCAGATCTTGTTTTGTAAGTCTAGATCTTTGATTCATGATAAAAGCCAGAATACTTGTTAAACATCAAAGTTGGGGGCTTTCGATCTTATTGTTAATTTCGATCATTCTGGCTTCTTTGAACATTTTTGTAATTACGATTTTATGATAAATCGATTGACAGTATTCATTGAAAATATTGAAAATACAAAATCTTATCACCAAAAATGGAAATTAATTATGTAGAATGAATGCTATTATCCCCTATTTCAAATCGCAAAAAGGAAAAAAAATCAGTCATTTATTCATCATGGATCAAGATTTGTAAAAATAGTAGATGATAAATACCCCATGCTGGATTACGTACTGCTAATTCCTATTCAAAAAACGGATTAAGATATGATTAGCCTATAGACGTAATTTGTATGCGCTAACATTAGTAGGATAATAAAAATATACCATTTATCTGAGGATCTGTAAATCATTGATTCTAATCAGCTCTATTTCCATTTTTAAATTTCTTTTTATCAACACCCTGTCTTACGATCTGCAAAATGTAAATCAGGAATGTGGTTTTTTTATTAGTAATTCAGAACTGTGTAATGAGTGAGATAGAACATACCAGAACTTTGGGGAAAGTTCATCAGTATGTCAACACAAAAATATTGCTCTTGGTCGGGGTTATTAATAGATCCTCTAAAAATAACAACTGTGAATGCTGATGACATACTACTGCATATAGAATATTTTGCGAAATCACATGTGTTTACTACAAAGAAAAATAGATGATGCTTTACTATACACAATATCTAAGCCACCCACGTGATTCAAAAAAATAATGTGAATATATATGGCAATCTTACGTCACACAGCCCTATCCCCTTGATCTATCAATCTGTGAAGTGAGAAAATATAACTCAAATTAACTTTGCAAAAAATCAAGTGATAGATTTTTTCTGAACTATACGAAGAAAAAAAGAGAATTTCTCCGATATCTTCTGCACATTTCAGGTGATCAATTTCATGATAATCTAATTTTTATGCCACCACCTCTAGATCTCCTGTATATCTAAACATACAACCTATATGATAAGAGATGCTAGAGGCATCAGATCCCTCCCTATATCAACCTACTATATTTTCTATATGATTCGTCTCACATAATAGACATAATGAAGAATTTTTCTTACAATTATATACATCTTCAGATCTGTCATTACTACGTCTATAAGATATTTCAGAGTAAAGCTTTAAGATTTTATTGCAGAAATATGCCTGGTCATGAATTGAACTATTGGTTGAGGAATAGGTGTTACCACAACTTTGGACGGACTGTCTGAACTAGATGAATCATCTAAAGAATTAGAGTCATAAGAAGTAGAAATAGGTGCGGTTGATTCACTTACCTCAAAAGATTCAGTCACATGCGCGTTACAATCTGTAACGCTGATCACCTCATCTGTATTGTCAGCCTTTTTTGAAAAATCATTTATAATGCCCTGGATCTGATAATCTTTTAAGTTAGAAATTGCGCTTGCGTTATAAGTAACTGCTTGTATTCTATCTATTCCTATTCCCATAAATAGTGTGTAGATTTTTTTGGCTCTGAAGGTTTTCTGACGTAAATTCACATCAGTAATGTCAGAGAGAAGAGCTTTGATTTTGTTATATACCAGCATTCTTGCTGATTGGTTATCAATATTGCTTGTAGATTTGACATCCCTGATTCAGTCCTCATATGCCTTGTAGTAACAATACTAGCATAAGATTTCCTTTTGTCTGGTTTTTATTGCTACCCTAAATAGATCAACTATATTTTGCACTGTAACTTTACTAGATCCTGTTAGAATCACTTCTAAAAAGAATTCAGAAATCTCAATATCAAATGCTTTATCTGATTGCGGAATAACCTCTCCAGTTTGTTTAAGCAAACCTTTCTTCCCTTCTATATAAGCAGATAGCTCATGTCTCAAACCCTATTCTACTTTTTAATTATAGGTGATTTTTTGATTGTTAGGCACTTGCTCGTTTGCTATAGGAGAACAACCCTGTCCATTTTTTTCATTTAAGGAAGTGGTAGAATCCAGAGAAGTTATATGTATCTCTGAATCCGGATCTTTCTGAAAATTATCTTGAAGTTTCTTCTTCCACTTCTTTTTCTTAATCTTATTGCTAACCTTTTTCTTATTTACCTTATCCAGAAAAGTGTCTACCTTTTTTTCTTCTGGTAACTTAGAACTGGCAGGTTCTTCAGGATAGAAACTATCTATTTTCTTATCCTCAATTACCTTGATGTTAATACTATTTTGCTGGTCTATTACAAAATCATTAGCTGATATCGGGTTATCTATAGATAACTACACTTCTGCTATCGCATCCTTATCATTCTGTGATTGACTAATTGCTTCAATAACATCCTGTTCTAATATTGCGAGCCTGGCTTTGAGTTTCCCGACTCTAGACTTAAGTTTAGCTTTCTTAGCTTCAAGCTTGGCATTCTTAATTTCAAGCTCACTAATACGTTGTCTTAATAATTCAAGCTCTAATGACATGATCTATATATAACTAATACATTGCATATGAATATTTAAAATAAAAAAAATCACATATGCGTTACAATTTGTAATGCTGATCACTTTTGCCAAAAAATTTTTATTAATAAATACAAAGGTTCAGAACACCGCTCGTGATACATATTATTTTTTGATTAATTTTTTGATCATAACTCTTTTGCTAGCTGGAAAACTATCTACATTAACATGATCCTTTAGCAACCTAATAATAATACCAATTATCCTTTTTACGTTACTTCAAAGTAATTCAGAATTTTCTTTAATGACAGACTTCGTAAGATTAATCTGATGCTCACTACTGCTTGTAGAGTAAATACCATCTAGGATATATATAATAAAATGCTACTCCGTACCTGTGGTTACGATATCATAAATATAATCAAAATAGTCATTTTCAAATGTCTGATCCACAGTCCATTTCTTTTTATTTGTCTGAAATGCACTCTTAAGTTGCATCAGATTCTAAGAAATAAAATACATCATCCTTTAGTCTTCTTCCTCTGATAATTTCAAAGCCAATAAACTGAGAAAGTTGAACAGACTTACTTGGACATATCTAATCTTAATATTGCATAGTTTTCCCTCAATAATACATAGGAGGTCTTCCAAACTTTTGATTGCGTAGTCTACTCGGTCATTAGCATCTTCACCGGAAATGTATTTTTACAAAACTATGAATATATCTTAAGAAGTGAGTTTTTTGGCGATAGCAATTGACGTATGAAATATAGCTGAAATAAATTCACAGCATATTGCCTCGTTAGCATCGGTCATAGTTTTCACATTCAAAAGTTTTAAGATAATGTCCTTCATACAGTGTTCGAATGCCTTATCATCATCACTAATCTCCTCAAAGATTGCAGAGAAAAAAATAAGGTTAATTTACATATCTAGTCAGTTTCGAAAATTAGTTAATTACTTACTAGGAATAAACTGCTTGATGTTTGTTATATCTTCCTCATTGACCTTATTTCTACGCAACATTTCCTTTAAGTTTTAAATGAGGAATAATTTCATAGCTTCTGACTGAGGCCTTCGATAAATTTTGCAAGTATTATTGCGAGACCAACCTTCAAGTCATAACTTCAAAACTCCTCTTTAGTTATGTCAAGAAAGGCAAGACCAGATATTTTCTCTTTACAAAGAATTTTAATATCATCCTCATCGAGTTTCAAGTCCTTCCTCCCCAAATAATCGATAAGCTCGTCTGTATTAAAATCCTTAACCACGTTCGACATTGTTTAAGAAGAAATTTCTTCTGTTATTGAGGCGGGTGAAGTAGATGAAGAAGCTTGTGAAGACATAGTTTTTATATGTGTGTGTTTGTGCTTACAAAAAAAAAATATGCACTTGACTACAGTTACAGGTAAAGCTAGTTTATGGATATAAAAGTATTTTTGATTTCAGCACTCGGAGAGAAATGATTTATTTTTTTTTTGTATCGATTCATAATGCTTTTGTCCAATATATATGCAATTAAGATATAGTACAGAATTATCAGGCGATTATATTACATCATTACACATGACATTTTTCAAGATTTACGATAAGAATATAATATATGCTTTATTTAAGAAATAAAAAAACGTTATCAGAACTCAGCCTACAATACATAAAAATTGCGAATATATCACTACATGATACAGATAATTATTTGGGGTATACAGTGAAATGGAAGTGCTCTGCTTTAGGCTCCTCATCAAAAGAAAAAATCTCAGAAAACTAATCGTACCTGTTTATTTCCTTTTCAATACCGCTTTCAGCTTGAATTATACAAAATTTGAGAGGGATTTTATTAAATGATGCCCCCAATCTGCTTTAAATTTCAGCCTTGAGTTCACTAGAACTATCATATTTGCGAACTACAATTGTTTGTATTACTTTAATACCAGAATATTCATAAGTTTTCCTATAGGAATGATAAGACATTGAGAGTGATAGTTTCATCGGCCATTTTCAATTCCTAAATACAAGAGCCATAATAAGAAAAACTGCCCCTATACATACATAATTTATGACATATACATACCTTGTTTTGCGTCATGTTTCTAGGAAATTTTTTGAGGAAAGTTAGCTGAACTTCTACATACCCCTAGATGCTTTATATCTGGCTGGGAAAAGAGCAACAAGCCGAAGTTAAAGAAGTATGAGACATAATTAGTATTGTTGTCTGATGCCAAAAGTTCTATGGCCGAAAGCGCTAAAGCAAAAGCACATGTAAACGGAATTCTCATACCTTTTCACATGTAGATCTACCGGAGAGACGCAAAGGTAGTTAGTTCTTATAGATCTCAAAATTTCAAAGTCCTCAGCCTTTCATAACATATGCTTTTGCCGTCAGTATTTACTTTTATGGTAGGTTCTGTGTTGCATGTAGACCCCTTTCACATTTTTCTCACATTTGTTCAGAAAAAAATAAAGGTACTAGTTAGCATATATATACGTGAAATTAATATGCGAAAATGTCATACAAACCTATTATGTAATCAGCCTATTTTTGTCACACAATCTAGCTGAGCCAGAGGCGTTTTTCGAACAAGGTACTGTGCATGGCTCAGCAAATTCTTCTGAGTTGAAGATCATCGCTCCGGTTGATCAATATTCCAGACACAAGATTTCCTTATTAAATATATTATTTTATTGTAAAAATCATGGCAAATGATCCCGAAACACTTAATCAATTATATGAAGTGCTATTATATAAGAAGAAGGATATAATAGCTATTCAGAAAAAACTCAGTATTAGTGGTAATGCAAATCAAATGACAAACATTGAAGCTAGAAGGCGAAAAACACTTGCCAATTTATATAAGTTATTGTTAAATTTGGTGGAAGATATAATACCAATACAGGATGATCTCAGCATTAAAGGTAATCCTATTCTAGAAGAGGCACTCTAAAGCAATAAAGTTTCTACAGATATTTTATATAGAGAAATATATAATTTGCTTTTATACCTGGAAGAGGATATAATAACAATTCAGGATGAACTCGGTATTATTGGTTATTCTAATCAAAAAAGAGCAGAAGAAGTCGATGAAAAAGCAAGAGCATATCTCCAAAAATTTAAGAAATTCTACGGTCTATTAGAAGATGTTCCAATTGTGATTTTACAGAAATATGGTAAAATAGGGGTAAATAAAATTCGGTTTACTGGAGAGATGCATCCGCTATTTCCAAATCTTTCTCCTCAACAATTATACGAAATTTTCGTAAAAAATTCAACTAGCACTGGACAGTGCCCATATCTAGAACAGATTAGCTAATCTATATTTTTTTATCACACAGACTATAACCCAACAAAAAATCATCTGAGTTGATGATCACTGCTCCAAATTAGTTAGATTGATTAATCGGTAGAGTACCACCATTCTACTTGATTGGCTAGTATTCTACCAAAATTAATCCTTGATGATCATTTGTTAGATTGCCAGTGTATCTGAGATATGACTGAATTCTGATTATTATCAACACTATGCCGGGTGTTATATAACCGACCACCACTCTGAAGCGATGTTTTAGCTAGAATACAGCGTTCACTCAATCTCCTTGATAACCTGTCGATGATAAAATTATCTAATGATACAACATCTCTTGGTGCATCATGTGGTATCCCCAAACACCTTACGAGTTCACAGATCACATCTAGGGAAGGTACCTGAATCAGCACAAAATTCTCAACATGAATATTTAGATTAAGTGAAACGAGCTAATCTACAGTTTCTTTGCTAATATTATTACACCCTTCCAAATTGAGGTACTTTAAATTAAGACATAAACCAGCAATTTCTTTGATAGTTATATTGGTAATTTGACAAAAGCTAAGGTCGAGTTGTTGGAGCCTTGGGTAAGAATGAATAATATTACAAATTGATGTTTCAGAATATTCTCTACAATTAGAGATATTTAGATATTCTAATCTATGGCATGACTTAGTGATTCTCCATAGACTACTGCCATCTACTTCTCAAGTACGAAAGCTCCTAAAGCCACTTGGCCAATCAATGCATAGATTGAGATACTTCAGATTTGAGTATGAACCTGCTATCAGTTCTAATGCTCTATTACTAAATGCTATGCTATTTATGAAACTCAAGTGGGTTATATTTGGGCATGAATGTACAATGCTTATGATTTTTTTATCTGAAAGTGAATGGTAGTATGATATTTCGAGATGAGTTACATTTGAGTAATAAACTGGCATTTGCTTCCTACGTACTAGCTTTATGAAATTTTTCAATTGAGAGAGATCCTTTGCATATTCTATCCTTATGAATTTATTTAATCGAGGGTGATCCTTTGCACAGTAATTATAATCATTTGGAAGAGATTGTCTAGGATATAAGTCTTTTCCTCTCAATTTGATATGCTTTCACAGAATAGATGCACCATATTTGTACCACAATCAGCAAACATATAGAGTGTGATAGAGGAATTTATCTATCGCTAAAAAATGTAAAATATATTCTAATAGTTTTGGTAAATAAAAGATGCTTGATTGCGCTTTTTTTCTCATATTTATTCGAAAAAATATATAAAATATCCTATTTGTGAATTCAGATTAGAGAAATAAAAGCATGTTTGATTTATTATCCCAAAATCTTTGAATGAGGGAGCGGACGAATTATACAAAAATAATATATTCAATAAAAGTATATCACTACAGGTCATGTGAAAAGGCTTTATTATCAAAACTATCGTGAATGGGCCTTTCGATATTTGATCAAAAAATATGCAAAATGCCTGATTCATCTCTTTAAACTACTACTCGCTTAATCTTTCTTATTCGCATCTTCTTTCGTTGCTTATGAGGAACATCCTTTTTTTCTCTTACCTGATACCT